AGCTTTCCAAAACATTATAATAAAGTATTTTTTTATTAAGTACTTTTTGAGTTATTTTATATTTTAATCTGACATATTTTGATATAAAAATTAAAATATCTCGTAAAATATTTAGTTTTCGATAATCTTACCGTAATACTTTTATGTTCAGAATAATGGGACAAATCAATTAGTATAAAAAAATTAATTGTTTTTAAGAAAAAGTATGTAATTATTTACAATGTATTTTTTTAAACAATTATTTGTTTTTTTTCTCTTTCTAATTGATTTAAAATAGATTTTTTAATTGGGCCTTTGACTCTTGGATTTAATTTGGAAATCTTCTGCTTTTCTTGATTTTTTGATCGCCAACATTATATTTCTAGATATTTGATCTCACAAAATATATTTGTCGATATATCTATAAAAATGATAAATGATAATTTTAAATAATGTTTTATTATTTATTTAAACTGTTAAAAATTAATTCCGAAAGAGTACACTTTTAATGCAAAATAATGTTGTAACTAAATTTGTATTGAAAAACTTTTGTTAAGTAAAGATCGTCTTTAAATTTATCAAAAAGCACATCCTTGCTGTTTCATGTACAATTTTATCGATTATATTATATATTATATGCCGCATATTCTTCCCGATCTTTTTTGTTACGATTACGCAATTACACAGAACTCATCTTGACGCGTATTCTCAGCTGGTTACATAAAAAATAAAAGGGTTATATGCTTAGTGGCCAGATAAAATAATAAATATTTGTAAAACGGCGAGGGGGTCAACCGCGTGGCAATATGGCCAGTAAGACGAGCCCCGTTTCGGTACATTTATGAGCTTCCCTACGGCGTGATCTAAAATAACGCCTATAAAAAAAGTCCATGAGGCGAACATCACTGAAACGACCACTGAAACTGACTCGCATTAAACGAGATGAACACAAGTTTAGGATGATGTCTCTACGTGAATTTTTTTGTAGTACAATTTAATATCTTTTTAAAAATATATAATTACATTAATAAAATTAATCATATAAGAGAAATTATTTATAAATTCTCTAAATTTTAAATTATTTTTCAGAATTATGATATATAATTCATATATATAAAATACATTCACATATAAAATCTTTTTAATTTTTTTAAGTCACGAGCATATAGTATATGCTACGCGTGTGTCCTTCGCATATTGTATTTTAGCTTTTATTATTTTAATTATTAGAAGTAATATATAATTTTAAATATACCAAAAAGTGTTTTTTCTGCTATTGACGATTATTCGAAAACCTATGGAACGAACTATTGTAGTCAAAAAACACTTTTCGGTATATTTGAAATTGGTTATTAACTGGTTTATTTCAAAACCTATGAAGCGAACTACAATCACTTTGATCTCATTTGAAAGATAATTTAATACCGAACAAAAAGTTTCCTATAAACATGGGTCGAAAAATGCTTCCTTAGAAAGTTAGCGCCCAAAAACCTTTAAAATCACGGTTATTTTTTACATTTTTACAAATATCAGGGAAAGTATAC